CGTGTTCTTATGTGCTCCTATGTGCTCCTATGTGTTTATATATTTTTATATGCTTTATTTATTTGATTTAAATATTCATTCAAATTTTCTTATATATGTTTTAGTTAGTTTTTATAATGATTCGAGAGGTATTTAAATACCTCAAAAATGTAATAGATAGGATAATTAGATTTGTTTTATTATATTTTCCCTTCCTAGATTGTGGTTAGGCGCTCCTCGATGTAATAGATAGGTTGCGTGTTTATGTGGCTTATGTGTTAATTGTTTTATCCGCTTTTCTTAGGATTTTGGCATCTAGATATTATGCTTACGTGTTATGTGTTACGTGCTCTTATGTGTTTATTTGTTTTAATTTATGCTTTATTTGCTTCACTATGAATTGTTAATGCATAACGTCACCACACTAGTCCAACGCTAGTTGTGGCTTCTCTCTTCGCTTACTTGCTAGTCCAACGCTAGTAAGGACTATTAGAAATGGGCTAGTCCAACGCTAGACCCTTTAGGTTGTCTTGCGCTAGATTCATCTTTGTGTGCTATTCACTACATTTTCATGCAATATTTTCATTTTTAAGATCTTTTCTCATTTGCATGATATTCCCTATTATATTATCCCTTATCCTCTATATGTGTTAATCATATCATTTAGAATTGCATTTCATTTAGGACATTGTATAATAGGTTAGTTCATTTGCTTGTGCATATTAGGAGAATTATTTTTCAAACATGGGAAATGGGTGATTATAACTTTTTAGTTCAAATACCCCATTAATCCCTGTATAAGAAAATTATGTCACGAGTTTTTGCCTCCCATACCCTTTATGTTGCATTCCCTTTTTCTTTGATCACTTATATCTATGTATATAATTTAATTTACTTTCTTTACTTTTCTTTTTTTCATCATTTGCATACTCGTGACCCTTTCAAGGAAATATTTTGGCTTTCGCAATTAATGCGATTGTTTCAATTAAACCTTTGAATGGATATTTTGACCCTTTCGATATTTTATAAATTTAAATTTGCATTCATGTAGGAAACATCCAAATATGATAAAATTAAGGGTTAGATTAGGAAGATTTTGACTAAACCTCGCGACTAGCTTAGACTAGGTTGAAAGGGTGCCTTAGGTTTGAGTCAATTGAACCTTTGCCTTCGCTTTCTTCAACCGTGACTCCCGAACCCATTTTCTCTTGTTTTCAATGACCTGGAGTTGTCAAAAAAGGTTTTGATTTATTTTATTTTTGTCAAAAAATATTTTTGGGTGACTTGGTACACCAAAACACCATACCAAGTGGCGACTCCTATTTTTTCTAAAAAGCCCTTTTAGACTGAATTTTTGGACCCAAATTGTCGCATTCTTTTAAGTCCCATTCTAGGTCCTTTTTAATTTATTATTAATAAATCACATCTTTTTATAAAACTCTTTTTCTTTTCCATCGCGAAAAATGGGGCGCGACATACTCTATATCCGAAACTTACTTTTTGGAGAGTAAGTTTAGTTCAAGTAATAGTAAGTTTTTATAGATTAATAGTAAATATTGTTGATAGAATAGTAAATTTGATTAATCATCAAAACTTACTAGTTTGTGGCATAAATTTACTATTTTACTTAAAGAAACTTATATGAAACAAGTATTAGGAAGTTTATTTGAAATAATGCTAAGATTTTTTTATTAATAATTGAAGCTTAGTATTATAGTTAGTAATTACTCGTAATGTAAATGTATGATACACAATTATACGTATCATTTATAAATGTTATATGTTTTAAGCATTTTAAATATACTATGAAAACGTTTTTTTTTTTTTTTGCATATGGCCTTATAAAATATGTAAGAATAATTTGTCATATTATAAATTTTGAATTATTTTTTAATTTGTGAAATGTTAGAAAGTTTGGATGATAGTAACAACAAATCTTTCGAGTAATATATAGAATTGCAGTTATCTATACATCACAATTTTCATATATTGACACCTATGAACACCTATGAATATAATAAAATGGTACACAATTTGCATATATTAATGCCTATGAATTTAATAAAATAGAAAATCTTAATAAATTTATTTTCTGGGTCACAAGTATAAAAATTAAAGTTGTATTAACATAGCATAATCTTTGAAAATTATAGTAAAATTACCCATATGTTAGGTTCTGTGACTTTCAAACATACTTTGTATCATTTACATTATGGATTTGTATCCATATGTTTTCTATCAAACTATTTTTTTATTGGCAAATGGTATGTAAATTATTATAAAATGTCATTTTATAATCATCATAATTTTTTATAGATGAATCTTATGTAAACTGTTAAAATTATGAATTCACAAACGACTAAATCTAACTACTTTATGGCATATATTAGTCTAAATAACTAAAAAATTACTGTAATCATGTGCGCGTTGATTGTTGAATTGAAATTTCTTTTATTACTAGTACAAGTTCTTCTAATCAAAGCAAAATAAAATCAAATATCTTTTCCTTTTGTATGCAGTAGTTATGCTTAATAGAAAATTATTAACCAATTTTTACAATATATAATTTCTCCTAAAATTAGTAACATTTTCCATGACCTCTAACCTTGTCAATAATAATAACCACCGACATGTAGATAATCTTAAAAGCAAAAACCATCAATATGACAAAAAAAAGAATATTTTCATGATGAACGAAAAAAATTGCGATTTTATATAGAATCGAAGAAATTCATCATGAATGAGAATAAATTGCAAAGTTATCACATTTCTAATTTCATATGCATCCAGAATTTCATAGCAATAAAATGCCAATCCTCAGCTCAATGGAACTTCAATTATTGTTAACTTACTATTTTAGATGAGAAACTTACTTTCTTATTTTTAAGTGTTATCCTATTTAGGTGGATAGACCTATCAAATAATCAATGGTCGCTAAAAGTAAATAAAAAATAAATCAAAAAAGGTCATATAAGTGTTATCCTATTTATGTCTCAAAAAGTAAATCGAAATAAAAATGAAAGTTACTTTTAAAAAAAATAAATTACTACTTTATATTCGAAACTTAATTTTTGGAGATAAGTTTAGTTCAAGTAAAATTTTTATAGATTAATAGTAAATCTTGTTGATAGAATAGTAAATTTTGTTAATCATCAAAACTTACTAGTTTGTGGCATAAATTTACTATTTTACTTAAAAAAACTTATATGAAAATAGTATTAGGAAGTTCATTTAAAATAATGCTAAGATTTTTTTATTAATGATTTAAACTTAATATTATAGTTAGTAATTGTTGGTAACGTAAATGTATAATACATGATTGTATGTATCCTTCATAAATGTTTTGTGTTTTAAGCATTTTAATAAATGTATGTATCATTTACAAATGTTAAGTGTTTTAATAAATTTATTTTCTAGGTCACAAGTATAAAAGTTAAAGTTGTACTAATGTAGCATAATCTTTGAAAATTATAGTAAATTTACCCATATATTAAGTTTTGTGAGTTTCAAATATATTTTGTATCATTTACAATATGGATTTATATGCACATTTTTATCAAAATTATTTTTAATTGCAAATAGTATGTAAATTATTATAAAATGCCATTTTATAATAATCATAATTTTTATAGGTAAATGGTATATAAACTGCTAAAATTGTCAATTTATAATGAGTAAATCTTACTACTTTATGGTATATATTAGTCTGATCAACTAAAAAATATTACCTTAATTAAATGTACTTTGAAAGTTGCACCCCTGTCACTATTTCATTATTACTACCACAAGTTTTTCTAATCAAAGTAAAACAAAATCAAATATCTATTTCTTTTTATATGCAGTATTTATGTTTAGTAAAAAATTAATAAACCATGATTACATTTCATAATTTCTAATGAAATTAGTAACATTTTCTAAATAAATTAGAATAATTTGTAAAATATGTTATTTTTTTACCAATATAATCAAAAGAAATTTGCACTCTTAAAAAGCAAATGGGAAGAAAGGACGATGGCATAAGTATAAATGTGAGCAACTATATGCATATCACACCATGAGTTTAAGTTTGATTTGTTCAAAACAACAGTAATTTATTTGTTAGTATATATAAAATGCATATTATTTTTCTGCATATGGAAAATACAATTTCATATATACTAACCATTAACAAGATATGTAGTTTGAACACGATCAATTGAGCTCATATTTCATTTGTTTAGTTATCATTTATTTTGTTACTTAGGTTGAATATTTACATTTGAATAGAGTATTGATATCAGAGCTTCAATTATTCCCAATAACACTAATTTTATGTTGATAAAAGTTGGTCTAGACAATTAAGTGTCAATGACAACAATTGCTAGAATATATTTTTAAATTTTTTTTTGAAAAATGACAAAAAAATTACACTTTTTTTGTGAAAATATCAAATTGTTAATTCAATTCAAATTAATTTTATAATAAAAAATATTATTCCTCAAAGTAGTTGCTTTATTTGTATCTATGCCCGTACTAGTGTCGAATGGATAACTAAAATAGGAAACTGCAATAAAAAATAATGTTACAATAAAGGTGCAAATAGGTAGGACTTTTGCTAATTTTAACCCAAAATGATAAAAAAAAAGATAGGCTTTTTTGTTGTTTTGAATTCAAAAGTGTTGTGGTTGTGATAGAATTCTTTGTTAAAATTTGAAACGGTTCAGAATTTCAGAGATAAGTGACAAGGTGATTTTTTACTTAAATATGGAAATTTTTTACTTTTAGTATTAGTAAGTTTAATTTAAACAAAAGTAAATTTTATCAAATAATAAGTAAGTTAAATTACTCAAAGTGTAAATTTCTATTTTTGACTAAAACTTATCTTTCAGGCATATACTTACTAGTTTTAATTAAAAACTTATTAAAGTTAATATTAATTAATTTAATATAATATTTAAAAAATCGTTAAAAAACTTGATCTATCACTAAAGATAATAAAAATCTATAATAATAGGTTTCGTTGCCATAACTATAGGCACCGAAGCATTGTCCGTAGAAGTATCAAGTACCAATTCGGACCCACGAGAAACATGTCGAGTAGAGGAGCCGACTCCCCGTCACCAGCCGATGACATTGGCATTGCTTTCCCGGAGTGCGACCGCCTCCACCGGGCCTTATCAGATTGCCACCGGCGGATGCCGGCGGGTCCATCTCGGCAGGCGGCATGCCGCCTCCTGAATCACTCTCTAGCCCAGTGTTTAGTAGCGGTAGCTTGTCCAAATGAATCAGAAGCCGTCCGAAACCTCTGCTCCAGCGGCGGCACCGCCCTCAAGCGCCACCAGTGCCGGCAGGCTCAGCAATCTCTCGCTGTCTGCCTCTCCTCGCGTCAGCTTCAAGAATCCTAACTTCCAAATTGAACTCTGCAGAATTCTCCATCTTCCATAATCGTCTTCTTAAGGTTACTGTTATTGAGCTTTCACATTTTCTAGAATGATTTTTGAGTTGTTGGTCATTTTTATCCATTCTTGAGGAAGAATTCAGTTTGATGTATCAGGTTATACTTGCAGTTTATGGTATCTATATGACGTAGTCTACAATTAAGGGTTGTCTTTTGGCTTGCCAAGATTGTTATGGACTTTGATATTTTTGAGCTCGTGTCTTGCCAATCTTCTTTTTAGTGTTATAGTTGCCTTATTACAACAGAAACTGCATTCCTTTCTTTTTTCTGGTCATCTGCCGATGAAGTTTACCACCTAAATGGTCTACCGCTACCAGTCTATGACAAACTATTAAGGGATGATAGCTCTGTATTGATTATTGAAGTTTGAGTTTGGAACTCGAGTTTCTTTTATCGTTTACAATGAAGAACTGGTGCCAACCTCGTTAGGATTTATCTGAACCTTTGAAACTGGAAGACGAGACTGGGAAGAATGTATTTGTGGATTAAGTTTGTCACTTTTTAAATATTTTCTTATTTTTGTTACCAGAATAGTGCTCTTTAAGAATTTCCGGGATTGAAATTTACTCTTGTTGTACCTTTGGTGATAGACATTCAAGTCATCTGAGGCTTTTAGTCTTCTATATTTCAGATATGGTTAACTATGCTCTCAATTTGGCTTGGTCAAATTAGTTGTACATGTGTGAATTCTACATTTATCCAATTTCTGCTCTCATTCTTATGGGATAATAATCTACAAGTTATGTGCATATAGCGCTTGATTATGTTGGTTCAGTGACCATTTTATTTGAGTATAAACTTTTACCTCGGTTATATTTGAGAAGATGATAGGCTTTGGTGTCACAGTGTTGTCTTGCAGTAGATAGTGGCGCTTGCTGCTGCTTAGATATACCTTGTCTTGGAGCAATAGACACTGATTTAGAGAGAATCTAGTCCTGCTGCATATTTCTGCAGGACATGAGGAAACTGATTCCAGCTATGTAACTGTTTTCTTTAGAGGATGTGTGCTTGTTTCCTCCTTGATTTAGTGGGAACAAGAGTATCTAAGTAGCTATCCTACAAGTCATTAATATGTAATGGAAGCATAATTTGCTTGTAAGTACCTGTTATACTAGAGCGGTATACTGGATGATGGTTATTTTGGAAAATGTATGTTGTCAGGTGAATGGATCACCTGCAACAGAATACTTGTGTGAGATGTCTTTATGACAAAGGTTATCCTGGAAGAGTTATACTTCTTCTGAGGAATGGATGCCCTTATGTAACCATCAACACATCTATAGATTTCATCTCTTTGATTAAGCTTGTCTACCCGTCCTTCTAATGGCTTTCAGAAGAGATTAACCATTATCAAATTTGAAGTTTTGCGTTGGCATTGCCATGTTTACAGTATAACACTGCAATGGCACAACATATAAGGATCATCAGGAGCATTGCTAACAATAGTCAAATTCATGAAGAAAAACTACAAAGAAGACAAGGAAAGGGTCGAAGGAATTAAGCATCATAACATAAAGAAAAAAAAATGAGAGAGTCTAAGGAAGCATAATAGCATCATTCACCACTTAACCACGGCGAATAACACCTCAAGGCCACCTCAATTTTTATTGATCAGTTGAAGCATTGTACTAGCAGAAATAGGGGATTGCATTTAGATTGTTTTGTTTGGGTATTTTTTGAAACTTATTATTTGGAATTTTACCTGCTGAAATATTTGGGAAAAAATCGTTTCGCTTGCTTATCTTCTAATGCATCTACTGACCTCCAAGGGAGTTGTAATAAGTGATCTTTGAGGAAGACTAGGCATACTGTACCAGTAATGCCATCATTCCCCCCATTGTCTAAACTAGTCCAAAATCAACACTTAACACCATCCACAAAAACTGCAAAACAGAAGAATTTACAGTACCACCAAAAGTTAACCACACATTGAATGCAAACATCACATAGCAGCTTAGTTTCATCGGCACCATAAAAGACCAAAACAAGGATCAGAACACCTTTTTTAAGTTTACATGAACCACTAATTCACAGCCAACTAACAAAAGGGTTAAAAAGAAACTGAACAGACAGTCACTAACAGTTGGATCACAATTCACAACCATAGCCACTCATTATCTACGAGCGTCGAGCCTTGGTCCTCCGCTCATGCTCTCCCCCACCATTTTGCCCTTTCTGGGTTCTTTCATTGTGATGCTCTTGTTGGTCCTCATCTTCTCCACCTTCTTCGTCTTCCATATTATTATTGTCCACCAGCTGCTGTTGCTTGAATATTTGGTACTGCTGCCGTTGAGATTCATCCATCAGCAGTGTAAGCCCATATTCCAAACGATCCATTTTTCGATTCATTGTCTGGAATTGGCGACCAAGCTCAACATGCAACTCTTGAAGCAACTCATAAATTCTAGCAGGCATATCAGCAGGCTCGAGAGGCTGAGATGAGGTACCCGTTTGAAACTGAGTCCGCCCAGTTACACAATTTTCCTTCTTTGGTACCCGTGCCGAAGATCTACGCCCTTCACCCATACTTTTGAGTCTTTGAAAGTCACTTGATAGTCTCCTTTCTTTGCATCGATCTTAAAGCTGGCATGGGGGCACAAGAAAGTTATGCAGATCAAGGAAATTTGTTGCTAAGTTGCCAGTCGAAATACCCAAAAGGTAGAAGATATGTAGTTCTAAACACACAAGTGAATGATTCATTCATCCTTAAAATGATTCATTCATCTTTAAAAGTAGATCATGGGACTCAATGAATACGAGAAACGGGACAATCAAGCACATAAGTAACTGATCATTCGCCCTTAAGCAGGTCATGGGAGTAGATGAATAGGTGAAACGGAACAATCAAGTGCACAAGTAAATGATTGATTCATCCTTATGGGAGTCGACAAGTAAATGAATGAATGATTGATTCATTATTATGGGAGTCGACGAATAGGTGAAACGGGACAATCAAGCGCATAAGTAAATGATCATTCATCCTAAGTAGATCATTTTTATTTTTATTTTATATTTTATTTGAATTATATACGTAACATAAAAATAAGAAATTCGTTTTGTTTGCCTAATTTGAAGAATTCAATCTTTTTCTTAATAGAGACTTCTTAATTAAAAAACCAGAAATATAAGTAAAAAAGAATTATCCATAACTTTTGAATCGTTCCACAATTCGAACTTATGTCACCAAAGAAAATTTCAATCTTCTTTCCTTTGATTCCGATAAACTAACTACTCGTTTATTACAAATAACAAATAATTGTTGAACTCAGTGCTTTGTTTCGTTTTGTTTCAAATGAACAAAAGCGTGGAACTAAAATAACTCGCTAAGAACGCTTTTTTAAAAGATTAGACGGTATGAGTAAGTCAAATAAACCCTTCTAGAATAAATATATTCAACGGCTTGTGAATCTTCATGTACTATTGTTTACTTCGTGAAACTAGGCAATCAAACGGTCGAAATTGATGATGGGTTTGGTGGTACAGGAAAAAAAAAAGTGTAAGTGAGAAATTTGCTTAAAAAAAAAAAGGTAATGGGAGTACCAAGTACCAACAGCCAACAGGGGAGCTACTAGCCTTAAGATTGCAGCAATTAACTACCGTACACACAAAATGTAAACTCTGCATAAACCGGAATTCCAAATATCTTCAGCCAACAATATAAAGAACAATAATCGAACAGAAATGAAAGAAATTAAAAAACTTAAAGAATTTAAAGGGCAACCGGAGAACAGAAATTAAAGAGCTCCAATAAGACTGAACGGAGACGCCAATTCTAGTACAAAAAAGGGGGGGATGGGGGTTGGAGGAAAGATACCTAAATGGAAGAACGCGCCGCCTACAACCCTAGTGGTAGCCAAGGTCGCTGCTTCACTTGAGATTCTTGACGAGCTCCGCCTGTACTAGACGATTCATTTCTGAAAAGGGATAATTTCACAAACCTCCCCTGAGGTTTCTGACACTTGCACTGAGACCCCTCCAGGTTTTAAAAATTTCACCTAGCTCCTTTGCTTTTCAAATTTGGTAACAATTCAGCCTGATTAGGATTAAAATATTACTATCATGATAGAGATGACATTTATATTCCATGAATACCCTCTTCCTCCCTGTATTAGTACAAGATTGCTTGTTGATAAAAAGGTAGAGATGATTATGGGTATTTTATTCTGAATTATTTAATTTATGTTAAATACATAAATATTTGCAAATAAAATTCAAAAGCCGTTACACATATATTTTTACGAAAGGAAAACTAAAATGTTTTAATATAAAACTGAATGGTAATTGGAATGGACGATTAGGATTATGTCATTTGTTGGTTTCTTTTGGATTATTATCATTTTGTGCCCTAACATTTTATTTATTTTTTTAAATGTTACACTTTAGTCACTTTGTCTCCAACACTAACAATCAAACGTGATTTGAGTTATTAATTCAAATGAAAAGACGTGTTTAATCTTTAACGTTATTATCAATCTATTCCCAAAAATTATGATAACTTTATTATCAGTTTACACTCTGATATTTTCTAGACACTTTAACCTACCATTCATCTTTTTTCTTTTTTTCTGCACCCACCATGCATCCAATTTAAGATGTTGAAATATTTTAAAACAATGTATCTTCATCACTTGTATAGTTAAACAATCAAAGCTTTGAAATTGTTATTCTCATTTTTTTGCCTTTTTAATATTAAGAAAAAAAGTCAAGAGTGTTCCTCTCTCTTTTTTTTTTCCCCTTGTGCTCTTATTTATAATAGTAGTATTAGTAGTAGTACTCATAAGAAAGACAGATAATCAGTAGCAAAAAAAGTACTACAATTTTTTTAAAAAGTAGCAAAATAGGAAATCAGTAGTAGTAGCAAAATGGGAAATCAGTAGTACTTTTTATTTTTTAAAAAGTAGTAGTAGTAGTAGTAGTAGTAGCAGCAGCAAATCAGTAGCAAAATTCTAACTATCACCCAGGCTATCATCTTATGAGTAATCAGTAGCAAATTTGCTCTTCAAAAGTAGTACATTTTCAGCTCCAGGAAACTTGGATGAATTTTACAAACATGGGCTACTGCAGTGCAGACAGAAGACAATATGCAGCTTTTACGCTTAGAATCTTGATCTGTCATGCGGAGAGGAGTAGTCGATATCTGGACCGCAGGCGATGATTCCAGAAGGATTGTTAGATGAAAGACTTCCGTAGCCCTTCTTGATGAAATCCATCTTGACAGTGGAACTGATCCCAGGTAACTGGAAAATGTCCTTGGTGTAATTGAAAAGATTTGGATATTCTCGTAGTAGCTTCTTGTTGCACTTGAAGTACACTGCATAAGCCTGTAAAATGCAAGACAATTCAATACCTTCAGAGAAGTGTCAATGAAATTTCATTTTTAAAATGGTGTTTGATTCACCGCATTTGGAAGATAATCCCAAATGCATAAATCTTCCACTTAAGATGGTTTGAGTTTCCAATGGACTCGCACAAACCGAGGAAGAGGGGATGTGATTATCCAAGATTAGTTTCTGAAAAAAGACACAGGCAAAAACAGCTAATCTTTTGTTTTTATTGAGTCGTTAAACTTCAAACATATAATTTTAGCAGCCTAGTCTTCCTTCAGATAAGGCTCATACCTCATCAAACCTTATGAGGGTGACGAACAAACGAATGTCTGCTTCAGTCACAGTTCCACCACACAAGTATCTCTGCTTGCTGAGCATCTCCTCACATTTGTCCAGGGCTTCGTATAACTTTTTCACTGCCTGCAAAAAGGTCATCAAAGGAAAACCTTCAACTTCTGCCATATACTAAATTTGAAACCAAAATGTTTATCGGGATCTAGAAGAAAAGGAAATACAAAATACTTACCTCGTCGTAAGGTTCTTGCTTCCTTGCAAACCCACACTTGTATACTCCATTATTTATTTCCTCATAAATCCACCTGTTTATCTCATCAATTTGAGATTGCAAATGGGAAGGGTAGAGGTCCAACTCTGGATTCTCAGCTAGATCATTGAACTCTGTATTCAACATCCGGATTATCTCTGCACTCTCGTTATTGACAATGGTTTTCGTTTTCTTATCCCAAAGAACCTAATAGAAAACATAACTTACTGTATGAACTGTAATATTCAAGCAGGTTAGTCTACCCAAAAAACATAACATTTCATGGTTAAAACATACAGGAACTGTATATCTTCCTGAGTAGTTTGAGCTCGCAATCTCGTACAGTTCTCTGATACTTTTAGCCCCATTTAAAGGATCAGGATCTGCACCAGGTTCTTCTGTACTTGAAGCAGGAAAAACCCATCCCATGTGCTCATCAGTATCCTTGGTCCTTGCCCAATTGATTTTAACAGCCTGATTTGTTGTCAAAAATAGAAGTTAACTCCAGGTAAAACTAGTAATAGCATAGTAATTTACAGCAACCTTACCGTAAAGCTGATGATTTTGTCCAGTCCTTTGATCTTAAAGCATGCCAGGCACCTGGATGCCCAGGGGCAACCATATGATACATATAGGTGATACCTTCCAGCCTCTGCAGGGAAAGGAGAGTTTGGATCTCGTGAGATTGCATTCCGGAAGGTTGAGGGCTTTCTCATAAATGCTCCAGATGCTGAAACATCTTCAAGAGAAGAGCCAGCCATTCTTAGGTTGTGCTAGAACTGTGTTAAACATTAGCAACAGTGCCATCAATTTTGAATCTTGAGAATGTTAAAAAAATGTAAAATGCCAAATATACAGATGCTGGGTAACTAGTGTTTGATTCTGAACATTGTAAAATTAAAATTTCAATAAAAGAAATACCGTCTCATGATACAAGAAGATGACTCATCAAAGACATAAATGTCTTGAATCATCAAATCAGAAATATTAAGTTCAAGAAAGAAACATGGGAACAATGTTGATGCCAATGAACGAAAGATTTTCTATGTAGCTCAACTCTGCAGTTCAGCACTGCAGAGATGCAGTAATCTAGGACCATGGTGCAGGTTTAGCAGTGTCTCATAGGGACGATGATCCTAAATGAGTGGATGATTGAAAGGGCGAGGAGGGAGATGGATTGTTATATTTCAACAATTATTCTACAGAAAATTATCTCCTTTCTTGATATTAAGTATCACGGCCAATTTGGAATGAAAAGTCAGCTGCTATTGAAGGAAATTCCGTATTTTGCGAGCAGACCACATCCATGAGAAAGACTTAATTCTCAAACCAAAAGACTTTCAATCTATTGATAAAACAACAGCTTCCCTTGTGGGTTTTAATTCATTTCGACACCCACCTTCCTCAGGATTACATTAATACTCCCAATCAATCTTTTTGCATTCTATATCATTGACTTAAAATTCAATAATTATAACCAAGTAAAGGAGATTGCTGAAGTTAGGATCAGCAAACTCCCTGAGAGAATATCTTCCAATGAATTTCTTGGTCACAGTACCATCGCATTCGATCTGAGCCAATCTTTCATAGTTTCTGATTTCAGGAGATCTTTCATATTTCGCATTTCAGGAGATCAGCAAACAAGTTTCTTTAATTTTTTTTCCCTTTATTCTTGAGGAACCTATAATAGTTGCAGATTATCGGAAATTGATGAAAATCATGTTTTATTTTACATATAATTACTTAAAATACAGAAACTTTACCACTAATGTTCGTAACTTCAAAATGATTTCATAGATGATTTATCAGCATAGCACAAATTTAATCCACTAATTAAGGCCCCCTTCCATTTTCTTGCTTTCTATTAACGTTTTCATCTAGTGGTTTAAACAAGCCTAATCAAACCAAACACCAAAGTGTTCAAACTTGTTTAATTATTTTAACGAACTTGAAATTTTGCAAGCTTGACTTGTTTATTTGTCTATCCAAATTTAAACGAGTCTTTTATCGAATTTGAATATTATCAAACATAAATTACTGATCAAATTTGCCTTGACTAGTAGGCGAACAAAGTTTGAACGAGTTCTTATCAAATCAAGCTCGATTCGAGTATGGAATAGTTTAGTTCATTTTTCAACCATATTTTCATCAGCCATCTACGCTATTAATCCTACTGATGCTAAAAATTCCAAGAAATCAATCATATTTCAATCTTATAACCGCGATACTATTCTCTCCATTATAGTTGACAAGATTTTAACAGAAAGGTCCTGCCAGTAATTGATCAACGAACATATCAATCACATGGATCACGAAATTCTGAAAAATATCCGTACTAACAAATGATAACAAGTGAAACAACAGAAACAAATGAATGTAAATGTAAACCACGAAAGAGGGTTGACATACCTTGAAGGGAAGTTGCAGGAGACAAAAGGGATGGCTCTGTTTTCTTCCCCTGCTGCTTAGAGAAAGTCAGAAGTTTGGAAATGGAGACATTATTTTTCTCTTTTAAAGAATAGTTGTCAGAATCACAGAATCTCCAAAAGGGGTTTATTGCCGTCTCATGACATCCTGTGTCCAAACAAATAGTATTTGACCGGCAGCGGAGGCTGAACAGGGTGCCACGTGTATTCAAACCAGGCAGGTCTAGTAAGATTTAAGAATGCAATTCTTAAAAAATTTGGTGTATTTGATCACGCGCCATCCATCCAACTGTAACAGTGTATGCATTGACAGTGTGTATAAAATTTACTCTTTTTAGGATTAATTATATATATATATTATCAATATATACACTATTACAGTGATAGTGTATATAAAATTTACTCTATTTTTTAAACTAAAATTAGTGTACACAAACAAAACTTATCATTCATATCAAAGGCGTATGAATTTAAGCCAAATGGTCAATACACAAGATTGAGGTGCCAAGCGTGTTATATGTGGGAATAATATGGGAGTTAGGGCCCGTTCTAGTTTGATTATTTTATGATATCTACCTGTTGTGAGTGGTGTGTGCACTACTTAAGGTCCTCGACATGGCCT